GGAGGCTGAGACAGGAAGATTGTGAGTTCAAAGCCAGCCTCAGCAAAAGCAAGGCACTGAGCAACTCAGTGAGACCCTGTCTCTAAATAAAATATAAAACAGGGCTGGGGATGTGGCTCAGAAGTTGAGTGCTCCTAAGTTCAATCCCTACTACCTGCCCTCCCCCCAAATTAAAACCCCAGATAACTTAAATCACATTCCTTCACTTTTTTTTAACAGGGTGGTGGGTACTGGGAATTGAACCCAGGGATACTTTACCACTAAGTTACATTCCCAGCCTTCCCCTCTACCTTTTTTTTTTTTTTTTTTTTTTTAAGGCAGTGTTTAAATTGCTTAGGGCCTCACTAAGCTTACCAGGCTAGCCTTGAACTTGCAATCCTCCTGCTCAGGTTTCCAAGTCACTGGGATTACAGGTGTACACCATCACACCAAACTCCTTCTCACTTTTTTTTTTTTTGTGGTGCTCGGGATGGAACCCATGGCCTTGTGCATGTGAGGCAAGCACTGAGCTATATCCCCAGCCCCTCCATCTCACTTTTAAAAGCAACTTATAATTAACTTTGGGGGATTCAATATGGAACCTGTATTTCTCACATCTATTAAAAGTTACAAAACATGTATGGAGCCATCGCACAGAAAATCTGATAACTGTACAGATCCTGTCGGCAGGAACCATCTGTGTTAATGTGTGTGACTGTCTATGGTTGCACTGTACAACTAACAAATGCAATCAACATCAGGAACAGTCACATGAGTCTTACTAAAATCCTACATTCAGAATGTGCACTATAAGTGAAATGCAAACTTTCATCATCACTGTATTCTGCCTAATCCAAGGGCACTTAATTACTGAGCCACATCCTCAGTCCTTTTTAATTTTTTTAAATTTTGAGGCAGGGCCTCACTAAGTTGCTTAGGGCCTTACTAAGTTGCTGAGCCTGGTTTTAAACTTGTGATCCTCCTGCCTCAGCCTCCTGAGCTGTTGGTATTACAGGCATGTGTCACCATGCCCGACCACTCTATCTTGATACATATTTTTATTAACAAACACTATAAAGGATTAATGGTCTGACAAATTCTCACAAGTTCACATTTTTTTAAAAATTTATTTATATGTGGTGCTGAAAATTGAACCCAGTGCCTCACACATGCTAGGCAAGCATTCTGCCACTGAGCCACAATCGCAGCCCTGCAACTATATCTTTAAGAAGCAAATTTCAGGGGCTGGAGCTGGGGCTGAGTGGAAGCGCACGTGCCTGGTATGTGTGAGGCACTGGGTTTGATTCTCAGCACCATCTAT